GTGTATACGTATGCATTATGTTTCTATATAAATGAATAAATGTGTGCGTGCGTGCATTCTTGATACATTATGTGTGTGTGTGTGTGTGTATCTACCAACGACGATCGTAAGAGAACGTCAAACGTATCCCCTCTTCCATGTGTTTAACTACACTCGGTGTATATATATATATATATATATATATATGTGTGTTTACCGACGATGCTCGTCGGACCGATAATGGTCTTTGATGGTGGCGATGGTACGCGACATGCCAAGGAAGAGCCACAGGAATCCTCTTTGAACAGTGAACGAGAGGAAAGAACGAGTAAAGCAGGTGAATCCGTGCTGGAACTCGACTATCCGCCGTCCTCAAGATTTTTCTTGTTGTTTTTTTTTTTTTTTGCAAAAATAAACGACCATTTGTGATTATTATTAATGAATCGAAACCAACCCAAGTATCTTTCCTTATCGTTCGACGTACCATTCATAGAAAATCTATTACTAACTAACTCCAATTCCGATCGTGTTTTCTACTTTCATTTTCATAATAAAAGATAACGATTCGAATTGCTTAACATTCGATTGAAATTTATACAAAGTTATTTTATTGATAAAAATATTTCTATGATATATACAATATTTTCTAAATATATAAAATTACGCGAGATTAATTCATGAAACGGTTGTTATTGTATCGTATTCTTTGTTGTTATTTACAAATGTGGATTAAATGATAAAAGAACAAGACTTTTGTTGTTATCAAGTCGGATAACTAGTAGATAATGTTTCTTTTTTTAAGACTCTCCATTAGAGGTAGAGTAGTGAAACTTGTTCGGTATTGCATTTCCTGCAATAGTTAATCAATATTCATAAACATTGCGATATCTTTTATTCAATATAATTTACATAGAGTTGTGAAGTTTATTTTCTTTCCTTTTTTTATTCCCTCTTCTTTTTTTGTTTTTTGTTTTTTATCAAAGAGGAAAAACTGGTTTAGACTCTTGGTATATTCTCTTGGCAAGAGAAGAAGTAACTTTCTTGAGTATCAGGTGTCGCGTAAACCGTCGTTGTCTTTCAAGTGTTCTTTTAGATAGGTGTGCCCGGGTATTGTTCTCAAGTACCCTCTCGTTAGATCCTAATTAACGCCTCTTAAAGATGAGTTACACGTTAGTGACGTTCTTCGATCGTACATTTAGATAAAATAATAGTATCCGATAGTAATATCTACTTCTTATCTTACTTCAATCAGTATCGTATTATCAAGTATCATGTAATAACGTAATACAAACTTTCAATTCACGTGCATTAAAACAATAAATTTCAACATGATTTATAAGATTAAATCGAAATACGTTTCGATAACATAATCGTCTTTGTTTCAATCTCAAATATTTGATAGAAGAAATACCTATATCGATGCAACGATAGATAAATAATATTTTTTTCCTATTACTAAACTCTCGTCAGAAAGTTTAATACTTTAAAAAGAAAATGAATGATCTACCTTAAATAGAACGAAGCCCTGGATTATTCCCTTTTTTCCTTTGTCTCCCAATACCGAAAAGAGTTTATTTCGCTTTTTATTCCTGGTTCGAAACGCTACTTAGTATTCCTCCTTGCTTTAGGTGGACCATCTTACCCACTAGAGTAGATCCACCAGTTTAACCCTTTCGTGGAAGCAAGAACAGTGCTCCTAATTGGTCAGAGTTTAGTGATCTATAGCTTTGTTCAAATTCATAGTATCTGCCAGAATCATCTATCTTTCTCTCTTTTTCTTTTCGTTACCTCTTTCAAACTTTTCTTCCTCTCAAGCGGAATATTTAAGCCGATCCCCCCCCCCACTTGCGCGTTAGCTAATTTAAAAGAATCACTAGTCCATTCCGAACGTTTAACCGATTTATCGCTGGGCTAACCGATATTGTGTGCTCCTTTTTTTTTCCATTAGGTACGTGCCCTTACCTAATTCTTCTCTCCTCTTTCTCGACCAAATGAGATACACGTCGCGTCTCGAGACGAAAAGAATATATACAGGGTGTGTCGGGTTACAAGTAAAACTAAAATACAACACCGACAGCGACAACCCACTTTTCTTCTCTTTTCTTTTTTCTTTTCTTTTTGCAGATATAATTCATCCAGACGAACGGATGTTTCTTATAAATCAATTTTCAAATCACCACTATAGATTATTTTTATCTTGACGATAATAATCTTAGACTAGACTTATATAAGTGTTGATTAAAAAAATGTTCGCGTTACTGGGAGGAATTTGATGCTTAAAAATTATAAGAGAAATTTATCTAAAACCGATATGATTAATATCCGTCTAACCATTTATCATCTACCAAAGAGTAGCATCAGCTTCTAACTATTACCCTTGACGTTTCCACCTAAAGTAAGAAAAAAAAAGAAAAAGTATCAAGAATATCACATTCATAATCCTGCATGATCCTCATTTGACACCAACTTGTCTCTCGGAAACTTAAACGCAACACACAACGCTCGTGTCGACGAAAAAAATAAAAAAAAATAAAAAAAGATAAAAGAAAATGAAAAATTCAAACGTATCGCAATGATTTATAGAGATTTACTTCTAAGCTAAACTTATCCCATGACAGTTTTATTGCGGCACGCGTTTTACGTAGAAAAAGATATAAATTAAATTTTTAACACCTCCATCCCATCCGATCCGAGCGTGTGTACCATCTAGAGCTCCCGAAGAATAAAAGAAAAAATCAATGAAAAGTAATGGAAAGAAAAAAATTCTTGATAGGAAAGTGAAAAGGGGAGAGAAAAAAAAAATAAAAAAGGAAAAACGTTGACGTAGCAATGCGGGTTTGCACGACGTTCGGGGGATCCATGATGTACATAAATTCCACGAGAACGAGGTAATCTTGTATAAGGCCGTTCGCACGAGTAAATAATTTGCATATTTCACCTTTCGACGAGTCGGTGGTTTAGCCGATGATCATCATAGTCGTCAGGAGAGAGACCCTTTGGGTTCACCGACGCCAATGGAATCTCGCGATCGACAATCGAATCGATCGTTTTACGAGAGTTCAAGAATGAAGGTGGAAAGAGGAATGGAAAGGAAGGAAGGAAGGAAGGAAGAAAAAGAAAACATGAAACGAAGTAGAAGAAGAAGAAGAAGAAGAAGAAGAAGAAGAAATAAAAAGTAAAAATAAAGAGTTATATACGAAGGAGAATGGAATTCGAGAACGTTCTCCTGGAATTCACGAAGAAAACTAGAGTAGCCCGAAGGGCCAGACGCAAGGGCCCCTATTATATACACCTATGCCGCCACTTAAACTCATGGGATCTTGGGCTCCTTTCAAAGGGGGGAATCCAAGGGCTGAAACTAACTCTCCTCAGCGAACCATTCGAAGCTGCTGTTCCTAATACTCTTATACAACCTTTTTTGTCTAGGGTTTGTATGTATGTGTTTGGGACTGTATGTATAAAATTTGGTTGAAATGTTTTTCGGTTCCCTCGTTAGTTCGCATATAACGAACGAGTAGAATGAAAGAGAGAGAGAAAGAAGAAAGTAACAACATATATAAAGGGTTAGTTTTTTAAACGAATGTCAACAAATTCTGAAACTTCAGTCATTTGAAATGAACATACATATTTTGTGATCTACAAGTGAACCAGAGTTATAATCTAATTTGACAAATTTATTAGACCCTTGAATGTTGTTAAATTGTTTGACTTATATTTTCTAAATGATCCATCATCTATCCCTTAATAAAAATCACTTTTAATCCTTTCAACTCGATCGAAGAACTTCGATGAACTGTTACCGCACGGTCATAGTCAAGGTCTCGATGATCAATGTTGATCGTTTGATTGTTTAGTAGATTATAGCTTACGATATCGTGAGTCAGCTTCCCTGGAGGGATCTAGGGCTCGTTAGGCCGACCATTGAGCTAGCGCCCTAAACGCAATCATCAATCACCATTAACTTTAGGGATCCGATCGTCTTAATCATTTTCTAAGATCCTAAGCGCGGAGTCGTAAATCGAGAAGGAGACCGATTAAAGCTGTTTTATGGTTCTATACCTAAACCGAGAGTACCTTTTAAGAATCCATCAAATAGAGTAAGAGAAAGAATCTTTTAAAGATGCCATTAGATTGGTAAAACGCAATCCCTTAAACGTTCATTGTAATTGTTAACGTAATTGCGAATTTATCAAATTGGAATTTGAAACAAAAATATATTTCTATTTTTCTAAATATTATTTGTATAAAAGTAACGAGTTGTTACAGGTGATACACAATGCTACCTACGATTTAAAAATAAAATTGTAATATTAAACAACATTTCTCAATTCTACGATTAATGAACAATTGGTTAAACTAATGTAAGTAATTTCTATTCGCGGAAATGCATCATCAACCTTGAAAGGAAAAACACGAACGTGTAGGACAATGTAATGTATAATATGTTGGTCGGTTAGGTCGTCGTTGCACCTAGAATTACGCTTCTCACTCGTTCGTTCGTTCGTTCATTCGTTCGTTCGTTCGTTCGCACGCGTGCCTCCTAACCTTGAATACGAGGTCACGCGTTCTCGTTAAGAAGATCGTTTCTCTCGCTTATTGCATCGACCACCATCGACCTGGCTGTTGCTGCTGCTGCTGCTGCTGTTGCTGCTGCTGCTACTAATCGCTTTTCGCTCGGAAGATTTAAATTGAAGTCAGTTCCTCCTATCGGGATAGAACTTTTTTCTTTTTTTTTTTTTTTTTGAGTAGTAGAACAGGATAATCCTTGTTATAGCATGCCATATTTTTTAACAAGAGATACGAGGTCTATTAAGGTTAATGATGATAGTTATATTATCAATTATATACGCCGTTGAAAAAGATTTGTTGTAATTGAAATTTTTAGATTAGATTTCATCTATGCGAAATATAAACTTTAATACTTTAACTTATCATTATTTTTCTGTAACTATGATCAAACAATTTTACAACATTCGACAGGTTAAATTTATAATACGAATTGTACTCACAAATACCTTTTCTTTTTATCCGCCAAATATTATATTATTCCATTCACTTTTGTACAGCTTATCTCTTAGTTAAATCTGCAAATAAATAAAAAAAAATGAAATTACAAAATTACTTTTAATTATAATAATTAATTGAATGAACGAATTCTTCTTGTGGAATAATTTTCCAATGACCATTCGTGTTTCATTATTCTCGTTCAACTATTATACACGCACGATATACAACAACAACAACAACAACAACATTGAAGAAAAATTATCTTACGATTGATTGTCACCGTTCGTACCCATTAACGCTCGTTTAAAAGCTGATATAACTCAGCAAATTATCGGCCGCAAATTATTCGATAATGACCGGACGATGCTCTTATAAAAATGCACATACCTTTACTAGTGCTTGTCTTGTGGTGTTTATACGCAGACATAAATCTACCTCAAATTTCTTTACGATAAACATCTTACGTAAATCTATCGATTTAACGTTGCGTGACTGAGCAATAATTAACTCGGACTAAAAATTGAAGAGGAAAATTTTGTTCAATTTATGCTCTGACATATTATTCTAAATATACAATGCAAATTAATGAACCAACATATTGATATTATTTTAATACAATGAAATAATACAATTTGAATACACGAATACCACGTTAATCAATAATCAAATAAATCATATGAAATAATATAAATTTTGATTGACTTTATTATTCTACAAGGTATCATTTATTTTTCAAGGCTATTACAACCTGTGAAAGAACAAACAAAAACAAAATATAGTATGTAATTTAATTTTAAAACGAAAAATAAGCGTGAAAAAAACAATTAATCGGTTTGAAAAAAAAATCACCGATAAACTTTGGACTCGTCATTTTATGATTAATCATATTTTTATATAAATAAATGAATGACGATCTTACGTATAATATTAAATAATCGATAAAACGATTCAAGGTAAATTAGGTCATCACTAATGATAGAAAAGCAATTTAAAATGATGATCGGTTTAATTTGACTTCCTTCAACCAAAACGATTAAATTTGTGGAGATAGAAAAACAAAAACCAAAAAAAAGAAAAAGAAAAAAAATATAAACGCCACGTTACACAATCGAAATAAGACATTCTCGTGCAAATGGTACGGTTTCTCGTGCGAACCGTGATATTTCTTTCCTACGATCATCTACCGAAAGAAAGGAAACCGAGGGAAGATATTAGTCTCCGTAACCTAATTCCCAAGAGCTCGAGCAGAGCACCCACTTCCTTTCCGTTCGTGCGACTCACAAACTTAAATAGAATTATTCAAATCAACATAATTAACCGTATCTTACAAATTTAACACACTACTACTACTTTTAATATCAAAAGAACATAGTTTTTACTACTACTTCAATTTTTCCCTATATTAAATAGAAATTAATATTCACCAAGATATTATTCATCAAGTATATTTTAAAATTTATATAATGTTATTTCAATCTTAATATATATAAATTACGTCACACGTCACGTTGTTTGTCCGCAATGGAGTCCTAAACTACTGAACCTATTTTAATCAAAATTTTGCACACTCCTGTGCAATCTCATCCAACTTGAAAGATAGGATAGTTTATTCTTATTTGTTTATTAACAAAGAGTCATGATTATCTCTGTTAGTTCGATAAGATTCTAGTAGATGACGGTATAAGGTAATTCGTTGAAAAAAAAAGAAATTGTCGAGCATGATGGAACAGTTAGCATGTTCACATGATCATTGAGAAAACGCGTAGGTGTTGGAAAGGACGTCGTGACTATTTAAAGTCGTCCTCGTCGAAGGTGCGGACACAGAAAAGGCGATGACAATGGCGTGCGATCGCATTACGTTATCCTTCGCGTCAAGTGCCGGCTCTCTTTTATGTGGGAGATTATATACACACCTACCCATATATATATAAAGAAAGAGGAGAGTACTCATGGATTCTCCCATATACATGGAGAAAGAGAAAGAAAGAAAGAAAATGACTGGAACGTATGTCGAGTATAGGAAAAGTAGGTGAAGGGTTTCCTCGACGAACAGGACGATTAAACAACTCGTTAACGAGACTCAGGTGTGTCCATATCGATTATGTGTACCTTTCCTAACGTCTATCATTTTATCTACGATTAGAAATAAAAATTAGAATTAAATGAAATGATTATTACTTTTTCTTTTTTTTTTCAAATTAAAATTCAATTGTTCAAAAGAAAATATAATCATTTCGTTTCTTGTCTCTGCGTATGGCATCGAAAGGTAAAAGGTGTAAAGGTATATACCTACCTTTGACGTGTAAGAAAGGAAGAGTAGTAAGAGGGTACCAGAGGGTGGTTAATATAACTGTATCGTTTATCAACGACAAGCGCAAATACGCCGAATGAAATACGGTCGCGGTAATAGCCGTCATAAAAAGGTCCGGATGGCCCCAAGGCTCGATCGATAACGCCTACGCACACATACACACATACTGAAATATATAAACGTACGTGTACGTAGAGAGTAGTACCTTCTCTTGGTCGTCCTTTAAATCTTTTCTTCAGCAGGTCAACGAGCAACATCGATGTGAATTCTTTTCTTTCAGGTGATTTCAATAAAAACAAATACCTATGTATCTATCGTCATTTTAATTAAATCATTCAATGTTCTACCTGTCTAATTCGATCAATGAACATCTGATTGAATTCTTCATATAACAGATCACGAATCTTCAAATTCATCCTTGTATTTTTATACTTAATGTGTCTTGGGTGCAGTTTGCACAATGTAAAACAGAGAATCATTACGATCGAGTTTACAAGGCTATCAAATTTGACGTCATTTCATTTGACGTCACTTCCTGTCCACAATCTTTAACGAGGACAGTATGTACGTTTATACACGCATCGTGGATGAACAATATGACCGAAGGAAATTATGTAATCGATTATGCTAGTTTTATATGTTTACCTATGAAAAAACTAACCTTCGTCTGGACTCTCGCTTTTTTATAGCTTCTTTATAGCGTTCAAATATATTTATAGGAAAAAAGTGGATTTCCAGAATAAGATAAAAACAAATATACATAGATATATATTTTTTTTCTTTTTTCTTTTCTTCCCGAAAGGAATAACTCTTTCTTTTTCTTCTTCTTTTTCTTTTAGACGAGTACAACTCCAAACATAGCACTTGTGGCACGTCATTGGAATCTCATGGAATACAAAGTATCTTATTTCCATCTTGTTTAAAGAATATCTTCGTAGTATTCTCTCTTATGGAATAAACGATACTCACGAAGAACGACTTCCCTTTTCTTCGTGGGTATTTTAGTCGAGCAAAGCAACTTTAACAACACACACACACACACACCTTCAGATACAATATTAATTTTATACATATATATATATATATATCTTTAAATATCTTTATATTAATTAATTAAATATATATCTTTAAAAAATCTTTAAATAAGTAATAAAAAATAATACAAAAAAGAAAAAAATTGCGATAAAAATTGTGCTATGTGCTAAGTTGGAAAAAATCACGCTTGAAATAAAATAAATTTCAATTAGTAGTGGACAAACATATTGTTACACAGAATTTTTATATATAGAATTTTATTAATTAATTAATTAATTAATTAATATATAGAATTAAATTAGTTATTGAATTTTATTAATTAATTAATTATTTTTGTTTCATCGGTTTCACGATTTCTTCCGTTTTACGATTATTAAATCACCCTGATTATAAAGAAGTCTACACTTCAAAAAAGATTTGATCGAACAGTGTACTTACTAAGAATCGATCAAACAAATACAACCAATCATTTCCCGTCGAACCAATATCTCTTTTTAATCAACATCTCCGACAACCACAGATCGTCGAAGATTTCTAATTTCCTTTCTCCATATTCTTTTATTTCAATAAAAGACAACATGACAATCAAATAAGATTAATAAAAAAAAAAAACAACAACAACAAGAGGAAAAGAAATCTCGAACGTTAATGTTCTTCTATTCATACAATTAATTTCCAATTTTTCAATTTCATTTTTGTTCTCATTTTAATTGTTGTTTCATCGTTCTGTTAAATTGCACTAATTTTAAACGAATAAAGCAAACAAACAACGGAAGAACAAACGGAATTAGTCGTAAAGAATTTTAACGTACGATTTTACGTTAGAGGATTATTCCTCCTATCGTGTCCGACTTTCTTGCGCGATTTTACACCGGTACCGTTTTAATTCGTGCTGCCGGAAGTGAAGACGTCGACTAAGACGAGACCAGACGAGAAGAGAATAGAGAAACAGACAGACGGATGGACGGACAGACACACAGATAAGTAGATAGATAGAAAGAGAGAGAGAGAGAGAGAGAGAGAGAGAGAGAGAGAAAGATAGAATTGCGATTATTATTCGATGTTTTTGAATAGCTCGTCACCAAATAACGGACAGGTGGTATAATTTTGTTTAATGACATAATATTCACGTTCCTTTCCATTCTTACTCTACACTTTGCCAACGAGTATGGCCGTTCTTTCCCATTTGAATCAATTATTTTGATTACTTTTGTTTTGTGAGATCACCGATGAATTTGACAATATTATTTTGAAATTTATCAAAAAAACAAATGCTTGCAATAAACGGAATATATAAAAGGTAAAATCAAATATCGAAAAGTTAAATAAAAAAAATGAAAAATAATATAATTAATCAAAAGTATTAATAAAAAAAAAAGAAGTATATAATTTATTATCGATGAAATAAGAATTATTAAAAACGATACCTGGAAGTAAAATTATTAAGAAAGTAATGCCGGTTCTCACGTTACTTGCACGTGTCGTCTGCTCACGTAGGGAAAATCAACTATCTCTGTCTCTCTTTTTCTTTCGTACACAACACACTCACACACACACACACAAGCAAGCACACATAGAAGCATAGATACGTACAAGGACATTTAAAAGTCGTTGGATGACCGTATGAAACTCGCTCGTCCTTTTCATAATACAGCGGGGCTCGATACTTGTCTGTAATCTGCACGTTCCCAGCAGGTAACGTAACGCAATCGGTGTACTACGTTTTTCCGC